GATCCCGAGAGGAGAATGGAGGAGAATGGATTGCAGCATGGCCATCCCCTCTGGGGGGTGATTTCTCGCTTTCTATGTCTCTCTCTTTCTGTCTGGCAAGCGCACACGTCCTATAGCGAAAACCTCTCAAAAAAAAGAAAGGAAAAAAAAAAAGAATAATTCAAGGTTTAAGAGACATAGCAACCAAGAACAGTGTATAGACCCTTATGAATTTGGTTGACCAGATCAGTCTTTTCCTACACATTGTAAGACAAGTGAGAAAACACTCAGCCCCTCTTCAGTATTAAGAACCGTGTGCTATTAAGAATCACTTGAGGCCCCGGCAGGTGGTACAGCCCACAGCTCCCTCGCTGTCAGTGCTGGCAGCTCCCTGGCTGCCCACCAGTTCGATTATCCAAGTCAGCCTGGAGATACTACACACGTGCCCATGTCAAGATCTGAGGGAGAGGGAGGGCTGGGTAAGGGGATCAGGGCTTGTCACGCACACTCTGTCATTTAAAAATACTTAATGGGGGCCAGCAGGTGGCATGGTAGCTGAGGCACTGGACTCTCATATGGCTGACCACGGTTCAAGTCCTGGACCTAGTTGCTGACTTTCTCACTTTCTCTTTCCCATCTCTGGTGAGCATACATGTTCTATATGAAATTTTAAAATAATAAATAAATAAATAATTTTTAAAAAATGCTCGCGGCTAGACCAGCAGGTGGTACAGACATTAAGGAGGCTAGAACCCACAAGGCTGACAGAGCGGTTTGAGTCCTGGACTCAGTGGCTTTAAAATCATGCTGGGCATGTGTGTGTGTGCATGCCCAAAATGCCTGGAGGAGAACGGAGGAAAAGGGACAGTGCTGGGGCCACCCCCCGAGGGGGTGATTTCTCACGTCTCTTTCTCTCTTTCACTCTCTTTGTCTCTCGTGAATACATGCACCCTATATAAAAAAACTAAACTATAAATAAACAGACAAACTCAGGGCCAGCCTACAGTGCGGTGGTTGAGGTGGCTGGATCCCATGCGACTGATTGTGCAGTTCAAGTCTTGGACCTGGTGGTTTGAGAGGCACGTGACGTGTGTGCCCAAAGTCCTTAAAGGCAGGTGAAGTGGAGGAGAAGGGATTATGGTGTGACTGTCCCCTATGGGGGCTGCTTTCTCTCCTCCCTCTCTCCAATAAGCTCATGAGCTCTCTGGCAAAGTTCAAAAGAAACAAATTATTCTGTAGAACTTGATCTGCTTCTAAAATTCCTATAAAAGGGCCAAGCATCTCCTTGTGGCGTGCTCTTAAAGCCAAGCGGTCGCCATGGAGCTTCTGGGAGAGTACAGACAAGGCCCTGGACGGCGACACTGAAGATGAAAAATACATTGATAACACACCTAACTCAGATGGACCATCTGCAAAACAGCCCAAACCACCATCTTAACGATAGCGTTGATGACATTTAAAAGACTTCTGCTATATCCTAATTATCACAAACTGACACTGAAGGAAAATTTGTGCTCCTGTTTGGAGAAATGGTTTTATTCTGCTGGGACAGTTGTTGTCAGAGAAAAAGCTGTTTCTTATGTTCCTGACAAAGAAGATAAATGTTGAGAAGTGAAGTCTGTTTTCTTGTGAGAGAAGTAAGTTTTAGGCTATGGGATAAAATAGAACACTTCATTATATATATATATATATAGCGCAAGTATCCCTCTATTAAGGATACTCATTCTACAAAATAAGAAGATCAGAGCTGGCCTGTTGCCTAGACATTTGGGGAGCCAGAGCCCATATTGCTGACTGGGGTTCAAGGCCCAGCCCTGGAGGCTTGGAAAACACCCTGGGCACATGTGCGTGCATATGCCGAATCCCAGTGGGATGGAGAAATGAAGAGGGGATGGTGGTTTGACCACAGCCCATTGGGGATGCTTTCTCCCTCGCTCACTTTCACTCTGCCTCTGCAGAGTCCACACACCGTCTGGCAGTTACGACCGAGATGAGATCTCAGTGCTGATAGAGAATGAGACTGGCATAGACGGCCACAACGAGACCAGGGCAGACCTTGGGAGAGGGGAGGGTTCTTCAGAAAGCACTCCAGCATGCTTGTTTGCTGAGAGTGGAAAATTTACATCCCTGCTTCCTACCCGAGAGTGAGTCCAGATACATTAAAAGCCAAATTCTTATTGAAGGAAACAGGTGACTATCTTCAAAATGTTGGAATAAGAAAGAATTTTTTGTACAAAAAAATAGAAACCATAAGAGGAGAGCCATTAAATGTTTAAAACTTAGGTATGACAAAAATACCACAAACGATGTGAGAAGACAAACCACACGGGAAGAAGGTCCTTTTCGCACATCATCAGCAAGGACGTGTCCAGATTTCCACAAGCACTCTTTCAAGACAGGAACAGGACTGACAGTGAAGAGGCACTGTGTGTACGGAGGGCTTCACAGAAGAGAGCACCAGACGGCAGGCCACGAAAATGTGTTTGGTGCCACGGTAGTCCAGAAAATGCAAACTAAACATCCAGAATAGCTTGTCATACTGTACTTTGCAAACATTACACACTTTCTCGTACTGAGCGTGAGGCAAGAAATTGCTATGGAAGAGTAGAGGAGCTCTTTTCCAGCTGCAACCATGGAGGGCGTTCAAGAGAAGAAAAAGAAGGTTCCTGCTGTGGCCAAAACCGAGAAAAGGCTCCCGCCGTGCCGGAAACCCTTAAGAAAAAGCTAAAGAATTTTGCAGAGCTGAAGATCAAGTGCCCAAGAGAGAAGTTTGCTCAAAAGATGCTTCTGAAGGCCAGGAGGAAGCTTATCTATAAAAAAGCTAAGCACTGTCGTAAGAATACAGGCAGATATACAGAACTGAGATCCACACGGCCAGGATGGCAAGAAAGCTGGCACTTCTACATACCTGCAGAGCCCAAATTGGCATTTGTCATCAGGATCAGTGGTATCAATGGAGTGAGCCCAAAGGTTCGAAAGGTGTTGCAGCTTCTTCGTCTTTGAGCCAAGTATCTTCAATGGCACCTTTATTAAACTCAACAAGGCCTCAATTAGCATGCTGAGAATTGTGGGACCATATATTGCATGGGGTACCTGAATCTGAAGGCAGTAAATGAACTGATCAACAGGCATGGTGTGGCAAAATCAAAAGAAGTGAATTGCTGGGGGCCAGCAGGTGGTGTGGTGGTTAGGGATGCTGGACTCCCACATGGCCAACTGTGGTTTGAGTCCTGGACCTGGCAGCCTGCTTTCTAACTTTCCCTCTCACTCTCTCTCTCTCTCTCTCTCTCTCTCTCTGTCCCTCTCTGGTCAAATTAAAATAAATAATTGAATAAAGTTAAGTGAGATCATTATTTTTTTAAAAAGGCGAATTGCTTTGACAGATGACTCTCTGATTACTTCATCTCTTGGTAAATTGGCATCATCTGCATGGAGGATCAGATTGATGAAATCTGTACTGTTGATAAACACTTCAAAGAAGCAAATAACTTCCTGTGGCCCTTCAAATGATCTTCTCCACGAGGTGGGATGAAGACCAGCCACTGTGTAGGAGGTGGAGATGCTGGCAGTGGGAAAGACCAGATCGACACACTTATTAGGATGAACTAAGGTATCCACCATGATGAGTTTTGTAATCTGGTCAGTAAATTAGCAGAGTGGCTGTTTTCAAACTGCAGTAAAAAGAAAAGAGAAAGTAGAGGGAACTCCATGGACACCATTTTGTCCATGCCTGAGAAAGAGGCATCTCTCGGGCCATCAGGTGGCCTGGTGGTTAAAGCCACTGGATCCCACTTTACCAGTTGCACAGTTCAAGTTCCAGACTCGGCATGTGTGTATGCATGCCCCCACATCCGAGAGGAGAATGAAGGAGAAGGGACTGTGGTGTGGCTGTTCTCCCTGGGGTGGGGGGGTGACCTCTCAGCTGCCCTCTCTCTGCCTCGGGAGAGCGTACGTGCCCTATAGCCAACTAATGAGAGCCCTGCCCCTCCAGCCGTTCATTCCACTGCTGGGTTCGCACACAGGGTCCTCACACGTGCACTGAAGACCTGTTTCAAAGCGGTCATCACAGTGCTGCCTACAAAATTTTAAAATTGGAACTAGATAAAGGATTATTAGGCTCCAGTGTAATCAGTCAAACAGCAAAATACTGTGTTAATATTGATAAGGCAGAATGTCAAGATCGGACCATTTGAGTCAGGACAAATTGCAAAATCAGGAGATCCTGCTCTCAAGACAAAAACGCAGAACTAACAAAGTACCTTTGATTAACTGAACAGAAACATGTCCGACGGCACTTGATGGGGGTGGGGCCCTTGTTTTCTACAGCTGTCTGGCCTGGACCCTCTGTGCTGAGGACAGGTCAGATTGAGAAGCAGACACACAGCTCAGGCTTGGCCTCTCTCCCTCCATGTCGCCGTGTCCTGGTCTCTGCTCGTCTTGGAGCAGAACGCCGCATGTGCCTCGGCCGCGAGCCGCCCCTGCCTTTCAGCAGGCATCCCGCCCCTCTCCCAGTTGGACTTCTCTGCAGCCTGGCAGCGGGGTCTGTGCAGGGCATGGGTGGCGAGCAGAGGGTCAGCGTGCACCTTCTCATGCCTTACTAGGCCACAGTGCAGGAGCTCGGGGCACGCTCCATCCCCGGATGTGTCCCGAGTTTGAGCCTGCAGGGCGGGGCTGCCATTTTGAGAGAAAGGACGGGCCTCAGAGGACAGTCCTCATTCGCCTTCCCCCGGCCGTTCTCCTTCAGAACCGTGTTCCTCCACCATGCTCCCGCCCCTGCTCCCCCTGCCCACCCTCCCCGCTTCAGGCCCTGGCAGGCATGAGCTCAGCACAAGGGAGGGAACAGGGCCCACAGCCTTCCGTCCTTCCTGAAGACTTCTACCTAGAGTCGTCCTAATTACCAAAAAGAAGCTAAGACCGTTCTGCGGCCCTGCCCTGGGGCCCGTGCTGGCTTTCCCACCCTGGCACCTGGGCATGGGTGCCGCATGCCGACTCACAGTGTGTTCACCTCGTGCCCCCTGCAGATCGTGCCAAGAGGAGGAAGCTCAGGGAAGAGAGGGCGTGGCTGCTGGCCCAAGGGAAGGAGCTCCCCCCGGAACTTTCCCACCTTGAGCCCACCTCCCCCATGAGGGACGAGAAGAAGCCCAAGGACCTGTGAGTACTGAATGATCGTGGTGGCCGCAGTAGCCGGGCACGTTTATTGAGCACCGGGTGCTGCGTCAGCCCTTCCCTGTTAATTCTTAGGTCGCCCAGTGCCCACGGCAGGCCTTGGGCTCACAGCTGGCTCCAGCGGTCTCCGCCTGGAGCCCCCTCCCTCCACCCTGCCCTGTGACCTCCTGCTGCTCACGCGAAAGCACAAGGGCATTTTACATAGAGTTCTCCCCACCGTGTAATTTACTGGACTCAGAATTGGGGGTGGTGATGGAAAGTGTTTTCTTAGACGTTTGAAAAACGGCTTATTCTTTTAAAAATACTGGGCCAGAAAAGTCATGACACATTTTTGCATGGAAAAATGCGTCGCAATTTCCCGACAACGCACCGTTAGCGCCCCGTGACAGTAGTGGGCCCTATGTGTCCTCGCTCCTCCCTGCAAACTCGAGATGCGTGCACATGTCTTCACACATGCCTGTCGGGTGCTTGGTTAGATTATCTCTCCTGATTCCACTGGCGTGAAACCACAGCCGGTCAAGAACGTGCTGTTAAATAGGTAGCACTGGCCTCGGGAAGTTCTGGATCGGCCAGGACACCCCGTCGTTTCCCGACGAGGGGGGGAGGTTCCTGTCGAGCCGAGGGGTGCAGGCCTCATCGGGAATCCAGGGCACGTGTTCAGCGTCGCCGGCTTGTCTGGCTGGATCCCTTGGTGCCGCCGGCTGTGTCTGGCGTGGTGCTCGGGGAGCTGGCCGGGAAGGTGGTCGGAGTGCTGCTCATCTCTGGTTCTGTGGTTCACAGCTTCGAGCTGGATGACGAGTTCACCGCCATGTACAAAGGTGGGTCGCGGGCCTGTCGCTGCGTTTCCGCGGGAAGTTTCCTTCGCACGCGTTGGTTACCTTCTCCCCTTGGCTCTCAGTTCTCGACGTCGTGAAGGCTCACAAGGATTCCTGGCCCTTTTTGGAACCTGTGGATGAATCCTACGCCCCCAACTATTACCAGATTATTAAGGTAGAGGCGACCCTCGGGCTCTGTTGCCCGCCCCCGGGCTTTTGTTGGTCTCTGCTCCGCCTCGCTGCTGCCCCTGGGAACAGAGGCTGTGGTGCTTATGGCTGAGTGTCGCGCAAGCAAGGGGCACCCTGGGTCCTCTGCCTCGGAGGGATGGGCAGATGGTTTCCCCCAGCATGTTTTACTTAGAGAGGTGTGTGTCCTGTTTGAGGTCCCCATGGATATTTCAAGCATGGAGAAGAAACTCAACGGAGGCTTATATTGTACCAAGGAGGAATTTGTAAGTGACATGAAGACTATGTTCAGGAACTGTCGGAAATACAACGGGGACAATAGCGGTAAGTGAGGGCGGGGTTCATGCTACATACCTACCTACCGCTCCATTCGAATCGAGAATGGAATGCTTTCTCCTTTAGAAATGGCATCCGAGCGATCCAGCCTTTCCCAGGACTTTAAACAGGGTATTATTAGAAGCCATGGGTTTGGCCCTCCTGCCCTCGGATGGTATGTGTCCTCTTCCCTATGCTAGCGACTGGGTGGGTGCAGGTCATTTCTGGTCCTAGAGACCTGTCCCTGTCTCCACTGTGCACTGGTAATCCCTCACCGGACCGAACCTGGGCAGAAGTGATGCGTTTTGTTATTTGTTTTTTTAAAAAATTCATCCGAGGGCACATGCTCTTGCAAAGAGAGAGGGACAGTGAGACAGCAGTCCCCCGGAGGCCGCTCACTCTACATGCCTTTCTCTTCTGTTCATTTTCTCTGGGTTTTGGGCACGTATGCACGCGCACACACATGCACACATAACATGCACACCCAGTGTGTTTCTCAAATTACGGGGTCCAAAACTTGAACCTCACAGTCACTCATCTGGCATTCAGCTGCCTTAATTACTGTGCCACCGGCTGGCCCTAGGTAGACCTGATTCTTTTTTTGTTTGGAGAGGTTTTTGCTATAGGGCGCGTGCACTCGCCAGAAAGACAGAAAGCAAGAAGTCACCCCCTAGGGGAATGGCCATGCCGCAATCCCTTCTCCTCCATTCTCCTCTCAGGATCTTGGGCACGCACCACCTGCGGCCGGCATGAGTTTAAGCCACCAGGTCCAGGACTCGAACCGCGGTCAGCTATATGGGAGTCCAGCGACAGCCATTATGCTAACTGCTGATCCTGGTAGACCTGATTCTTAAATCATTTTGAGAAGTCAGCAGAGAGGATTTCAAATATCAGAGAATAAATGGCTGCCGGTCCTGAAACGTGGGTCATTTATACAGGAACTCAGAATGCCGTAGTTTAAAAAGCAAGCAGATCGGGACCAGCAGTTGGCGTAATGGCTATGTCGTTGAATTCCCATGTAGTTAGCCATGGTTCATGCCAGGTGTGTGTGTGTGCGTGCCCAAGATCCCGAGAGGAGAATGGAGGAGAAGGGATTGTGGCGTGGCCACCCCCAAGGGGGGTGTTTTATCACTTTCTGTCTCTCTCTCTGTTTTTCTGGTGAGGGCACACACCCTGTAGCAAAAAAATAAAAAAACACACTAAGCAGATTCAGCAGTTGTATTTAATAGTTCTGCAATTTAGCCTTAGAAGAATTAGACACCCTGGGCCAACAGGTTGCATAGTGGTTAAGGCGCTGGACTCCCACATGGCCGAGCACAGTTTAACTCTCAGACCAGGTGGCTTGAAAATCACGCCAGGTGTGTGAATGGGGGAAAAGGGATTGTGGCGTGGCCATCTGCCCTGGAGGGTGATTTCTCACTTTCCGTCTTTTTGTGTCTGGCAAATGCATGCGCCCTATGGCCAAAACCTTAAAAATAATGATTAAACGCTCACTGACTTGAGAGAGCAGTGCTCACACCAGCGTCCCACCTGTGTACCTGGCACTCTGTGGACTGGGCCACGTTTTCTCCGGCATGTGTCCTTAGCTCGCCAGCAACGTCGTCCGTGAGGTGTGATTAAACTCAGTTCGCCCTGTGCATCTTCCGTTGTTAATCAGTGGGAAAATTACCTACTGTATCCTGTGGAAACTATTTCTAAAGGTCAATCCTTATGTCTTCCTATAGAATATACCAAGATGTCTGATAATTTAGAGAGGTGTTTCCACCGGGCGATGAGGAAACATTTCCCTGGGGAGGACGGCGACACGGATGAGGAGTTCTGGATCAGAGAAGATGACAGGCGGGAGAAAAGACGCAGTCGGGCCGGGCGAAGTGGCGGAGGCCATGTGTGGACCCGCTCCAGGGACTCTGATGGACCCAGCAGGAAACAACCTGTGGAGAACGGGGGAAAGGCCTTGCCTCCCACCCGCCGTGCACCCTCCTCCAGAGGTCCCAGCACCGGCCCCGCACAGCCCCTCCGCGAGGTGGGCACCGCCAACGGCCGAGGCTTTCCCCGGCCCCTGCACTGCGGCGGGATGCCTGGCCAGGCCCCCCTTCTGAACCCAATGGTAAGGAGCAGCAAGAGCTGTTCTTAGAGAAAGAAGTGCTTTCTGGGGACAAAGATGCTACAACCCATGGCCTGCCCCAGTTTCAAGCCCTCCTTTGTCTTACTCGAATCATGCGTTTTCGGGGAGGTGGGAGATGGGGACTAAGCAGGGCTCCTGTGCGTCAAGCGCGTTGGGAGGGATGGTGTGTGGTTGGTGTGCGGGATCCTGGTTCCATGGCGGCGCTACTGGGCGGAGGGCTAGGGAGCCATGCGTCTGCGTGCATGTGTGTCTCGGGATTACTCGGACACTGAGAACCCGGGTAGAATCTTGGGGTGGGGGGACGCACCCTCCCGCGCAGGCCCGTCCTGAGCCAGGGGAGCCCCACTGGGACCCCTCCAAGTCTCGGACTGTGGGGCATCGTGCACCTGACCTCGCGGCCTGCCCTCCTCGGGAGGGCCCGTGCTCTGCTAACGCCCTTGCCTTCTCCTTTCCTGCTCCTTTGAATGGCTTCCAGCGGCCAGCAGTGCCAGGGCCCTTTGGCGCTCTGCGAGGATCAGATCCTGCCAGTCTCTGTGGCTCCTCCAGAGTGCTGTGCGGTGATCATACCCTGCCAGTCTCTGTGGCTCCTCCAGAGTGCCAGAGCCGCACCCAGGAGAGCCCGGGCCGCCGCCGCCTCCGCCTTTTGCCATGCAGGTAAGCAGCCTCTGCGCAGTGGTGTGGGTGCGGGGACCACGGTCACCCCAGAGTGCCGTCTCCTCGGGCCAGGCGCATCCCGGAGGTCTGCGGCTGCAGATTAAATGCACACGAGGCCCGCTGATGCTGGCATCTGCCGACTCCGCTGTCCCTGTCTCTCACCAGCCTCCAGTGGGAACGAATAGCAACCGCGGACCCAGGCTGGGCACCCCCGAGGAGAAGCCGCTGTGTGGGGGCTGGACGCACCTCCCCAACGCGGGCTCGCACCCTGGGTCCTTGCAGCTTGGGCAGACCAGCAGTCCCAGTCAGGAGAGGAGCATGTACACCCCCACCCAGTTCCAGCCAGGATTCATTCCTACCAGGCACAGCGGGACCCCAGCCCGGCCCCCAGACTTTTCTGAAAGCTCCGAAGTCCCCCCCAGCCACATGTACCGCTCCTACAAGTACCTGAACCGGGTACACTCTGCCATCTGGAATGGCAGCCACGGTGCTGCAAGCCCAAGGCCCTTGGGGCCGGAGGAGAAGCCCCCCCTGGGGCCAGGACCCTCACACCAGCCTCATACTCTGGGTCACGTGATGGACCCACGTGTGATTAGACCACCCATCCCCCCAAACCAGTGGACTGAACAATCAAGCTTTCTACCTCATGGCGTTCCTTCCTCAGGGTACATGCGGCCACCCTGTAAGCCTGCCGGGCATCGGGTGCAGCCGCCGCTGGCTCCGGCCCCGAGTTCCCTGTTTGGTGTTCCTGCCCAGGCTCTGCGTGGGGTGCCCGGAGGGGACTCCATGATGGACAGCCCTGAAATGATCGCCATGCAGCAGCTGTCCTCCCGGGTCTGCACACCCGGTGTGCCTTACCACCCCCGCCAGCCCGCACCCCACCACGCACCCGGCCCCTTCTCCCAGGCCACCCCTTCCACGTCAGGAAGCATGTCGGCCCCCAGGTCTGCCTTGGGCACTGCTGTCCAGCCACAGGAGAACAGCGAAACACAGGACCCTGCGAGTGACCGAGGTAATCCCTTCTCACTAGATCTCACTTTGGCTTTTGAAGCTGTTAATTCATGAGTAACCTTTTCACACAGAAGAGTAAAGTGAATGTTTACTGGTTTCCAGCCCCCCCCCCCTTTTTTTTTTCCCACCATTGGGTGCATGCATTTGCCAGAGAGAAGGAAATTGAGACTTAGCCGCCAACGGGATGGCCATGCCACAGTCCCTTCTCCTCCATCCCTCTCAGGATCTTGGGCACACATGCACACGCACCCAGCGTGAGTTCAAGCCTCTGGGTCTGGGACTCAAACTGTAGCTGGCCGTGTGGGAGTCCAACAACGTGACCTCTGTGCCATCTGCTAGCCCTTCCAGCTGCTGCCCTGAAATCTCGGGTCTGGGCCAGCCCGTTTCCCAGGCCTCAGAATGCAAGCAATTTCTAGTGACTGTGACGATGACGGCTGTGGCATGGGCCAGTGATCACATCAGGCACTGGTCAAAATTTTTTTCCTGTGGGATGTGCGCATTTGCCAGAAAGCAAGCGAGAGCGAGCATGAGCGCACCCTCGGGATGGCCTGCCTCCGTCCGGTCTCCTCCATTCTCTTAAGATTTTTGGGCATACATGCGTACGTACCCAGCATGGTTTTGGGGGTTTTTTAGTTATTTTTTAAATTTTATTTGTTGTTATATATATTTCTTAATTTGACCAAAGAGACGGTGAGAGAAAGGGAAGTGAGAAAGCAAGCCGCCAGGTCCGTGGTTGGCCATGTGGGAGTCTGGCACCTTAAACACCACGCCACCTGCCAGCCCCAACACCTCCCCCAGCATTTATTTTAACTTTCCAAATATTATTTACTCCACTAAAACCTGGAGCGAGGCAGGGAAGAGACTGCCTCAACCTCCCTGTGTCTGAGACTCCAAGCCTAGGAGTGCACGTTGACAACAGCGACTTCAGGGCCAAGTGTGCTGTGGGACGGAGCCCCGTGGCCAGCAACCCCCGGACAGCCCGGTCCGCCTTGCTATTGCACACGCCCCGCCTGGGCTCCGGGCGGCCAGTGGTCGGGTGCTCACCCGGGACAGCACAGGCGAGGACACGAGTTCACGTCATTCTGTGGCAGTGCACTGAAGGGCTCCGGGTGGGGGAGGGGAGTACTAGGGTCCACACCGCGGCCCATCGGGACCAGCGGTAGCTTCAACCGCTGCACTGCCCCACCTGTGCTCTGGCCCGGGTCTCCCGCCCAACTGTGCAGCGGGTTGTTTGCACCGCCAGCTCCGCTAGGTGGTTCAGCTGCCGGACTGTGGTTTCACTCTGTTTTCGCAGCAGAGCCCTTGTCTGGGCTCGAAGAGAAGCCGACGAGCGCCGGGGCGTCGGAAGGGCTGTACCTCAAGCAACTACCTCACCCCGCCCCGCCTCTGCCTGACCGGCCCAGGCAGAGCTCCCCGCAGGTGCAGGATGCGGAGGGCCCAGAGCCCGCGGGCGAGTGCGCTGACGGCTGTAATGCGCCCAAGGGCCAGGGCGCCTGGGCCCCGGACCCCGGCTACGGCCCTGCCGCCCACCCCGAGAACGGAGCCCTGGGCCGGGCCTCCCCCTGCACCGAGACCAAGAGCCTGGGAAGTGGGGGCACTGAGACGCCGCTCTGTCCCCGGGCCAAAGTGCCGCCCGACCCGTGCGCGGGCCAGAGCTCAGCCACGCCTGCGGGGGCCGTGGGCCAGCTCCCCGTGTTCGTGCCCGGCCTGGAGTACCCGAGCGCCCCGCACTACCTCCTCGGCCCCGGCCTGCAGGGCCTGGGCCCCATGAGCAGCCGGAAAACCCCTGCGGCGCCTCCGCAGCATTTTGCCCCCAGGGGTTTGCAGCCCCGTAGCCCGCACGCCCACACGCATGCGCACCCGCACGCCGGGGTCTTCCCCCGCTACCGCGCGCACCAGGGCGTGCGCTACTCCTACCAGCCGGCCTCCTACCAGCCCTACCCGCGGACTCCCTACTACTCCTGCCCGCAGTGCTTCTCGG